ACGTAACATAGATTTAGGATGTGTTGTAGATCTATCAAAAAAGCTACCGTAGATCTATCAAAATCGATACTTTTGCACCCCAGGATCGCCAACAAAATTGACAAAATTACTATGTAATTTTTACCATCACGTGATGATCGACGAAAATAAACTAATAATGAATCTCGATTTGGTGTAATGTCACACAATCAGAAAAATTCAAAACAAACGTTCATTTTGCAAAAAAATCGCTTATATCTCAGAATCTGCATAGGAAACCACCTTCTGTACATTAACAAAAAGTTTTTCTTGAATGATTTTACTGTTAGAACCCTTAACTCTAACACTAAAAATAGGCCCTAACCCTAACATAAACGAACTTAAAGAATTTTGTTGGACATCACGTGATGGTAAAAATTTTGTTGGCGATACTGGGGAAGATCCTAAATTAGGGTTGGTTTAGAGTTATAGTAAGAGTTTAGGCAAATCTATTTAATTCTGGTAAACAAATGACGTCACGACATGTTTACGTATAACTTTTCTTCAAGTGTTCACATTTTATGGTAGAAAATTTGAAATAAATTTTTTGAGACGCATTTTTTTTTTTTAAGGCTAGGTAATGAATACAGGTGGGGCATACATTTTCGATCAAGACCCTTAAATTTAATATAATTCGCAACGTTTTTTTTTACAGAGATTTTTTTAAAACAAAGTAAATGTTATTTATTATAGATTGAAGTTATAAGGGCCATTTGGCTGAAAAATCACCTATTATTTAATGAATTGTTAAATAATGAACGATTTAAACATTTCAATGTGTGATAATATTTTCACAGTTTGGCTGTTTTATTTGTTACTATTTGTAGCTCATCTCGTAAAAAGTATTTATGGTGATTGTAACAAAATTCATTTTAATGTCACAAAAGTTTGTGCAATAATGTACCTAAAAAGTCTCCCTAAACAAGAGAATGACTAAGATGATCGTAATTAAATAAGCTATTTCTGAATAATACATCATAAATAATGCTATGCTACCTGTTTTTTTCAATTGTAGTAGAAGCAACTAATGTCTTCAAAATCTTCAGATTGGTTTGAAAGGGCTTTGCGAGGTGATACTATAACCTCTTTTAATTATTTTGTAGATTGTGATGTCAAAGAAGTTGGAAAAGGTAATAGTTTAGTGCATTCTACATAGTACAATTGGGAATTTACTTTCTAATTTATAAATCATAAAGGCGGATTTGGAGTTGTTTATTCAGCTGACTATGAAGGAACAAAAGTCGTGTTAAAAAGTGCTAATGCTAATAGAGTGACTAAAGAATTTGTTAGCGAAGTGATACATTATTCGTCATTTCCTGTATCTGATCTCAATTGAAGTTAATAAATTAGGCAATATTGTGTAGTTTAGACGACTAAGTTCTATTAAATTTCATCCAAATCTTAACCAATTTCATGGAATTACGCTTGGTATTAATAATAATATTATATGTTTATTTTTTAGATAATATTTCTAACCATTATTTATTATTTTAGACCCTACAACTGAAAATCTCATGCTGGTGCTGCAATTTGCCAATGGAGGTAACTTGCGACAAGACTGTATTTACTAGACAAATGGCATGATGATGTATTCAAAATTTCACTAACTGAAATTATTGAAGATCACTCTCAGACTAAGATACTCACATGAGAGAATTATAATTATTCTTGCTCGGATCATTCATTTATTCGAAGAAAATATATTATGGGAGTAGTGCCATGCTGTGGCTCTACTGAGTTTACAGGCGCTTATACTTTTATCTTAAAACAACAGTCATAAATGGGTGTTGCACGAGGATCACGTAACAAAAAGGGAAGAGTATCGAGTATGTACAAGATAAATGATAGGGATGGCCCACGCTAAGGTGCAGCGCATCAAAGGTAG